GTCATTTTTAAAAAAAAAAAAAAAAAAAAAAGATTAGGAAACAAAAAGTCAGAAGGAGCCAATTCAGGACATGCGGTAGATGCCTAATGATTTCCTATTGAAACTCTTGCACAGTTGCCGATGTTTGATGAGAGGGATGAGCAGGAGGAGCCTTGGCTTTGGCTAACTTTCTGAAAACACTCATAATCAGATGTTACTGTTCTTTGGCCCTCCAGAGAGTCAACAAGCAAAATGCTTTGAGCATTCCAAAAAACTGTTGCAGTGACCTTTGCTCTTAACCTGTCTGCTTTTGCTTTGACTAGACCACTTCCACCTCTGTGTAGCCATGGCTTTGACTGTGCTTTGTCTTTAGGATCTACTGGTAAAACCATGTTTCAACTCCTGTTACAGTTCTTCAAAGAAATGCTTCAGGATCTTGATCCTGATTGTTTAAAATTTCCACTGAAACCTCTGCTTTTACCTGCAGCTGATCTGGGTGCTAACAGTTTTGGCATCCATCAGACAGAAAGTTTGCTCAACTAATTTTTCAGTCAGAATTGTGTAAGCTTAACCAGTTGAGATGGTGTTGGCTATTTCTGCTGTTAATTGTAGGTCCTCTTTAACTAGGACATGCACAAGATTCATTGTTTGCTCGCATATTGATATGGATGGTCTGCCCCTGCAGGCTTCATCTTCAACATCGGGTCTCATCCCTTCTTAAAATGCTTTATCCATTTGTAAACTGGTGATTTCTTTGGGGGATTGTCCCCATAAACTTTTTGTGAAGCATCAGTGATTTCACTGTATTCCACCAAGCTTCACCATCAATTCGATGTTTGTTGTTGCTTCAGTTTTGGCAGAATTCATGTTGTTCTGATAGGAGCTATTTTCATTCAACCGATTATAATTCATTGTTATTTTGAGGCTCAAGTTGTCCCAGCAATTTAAATTTGCTAATTTTTTTAGCAAGTGGGAATCCCTTCAAGCTGGCCCCTTTGTCGTCTTGATGCCTTTCATTGTTTTTCTAGCACTTTATTTTCTTCTTCATTATTCTTCCTTAACTATAACTGTATTTAATCTTTATTTGTTTCCAATCATATCACTTCTTTGAAGTCACAAGTTCTATATAAATCCCCAAAGTTATGTTTTAGTATTTAGTAATTCTTCTTATACTCTTCATAGTTGTATAGTGTTCTCTTTCTGTTTTTTTTTTTCTTTCTAGACTCAAAAATCAGTCTATCAACTAGCTTATTTTGAGTGGCATTTACTATATTTTTGAATTGTTCTCATGTGGATCAGCCACTTGGTTATTCTTA